TTTTTCCACAAAGGAACTACTTAAAGAAAACTAAAATATGTGGATAAATACTACGATGAAATGAACTGACACTTTCTGACTCACCTATTCATAATGCAGCCGCTCACACCGACCATGTAACTTCACTGGATTAATTTGTGGCATTTATTACCAATCCAAGTCTGAATAAAAAGCTCTGACCAGCCAGACCAGTGGACTCGTAGCTGAAAACTTGACTGGGTCAACTGGGTGTCTGAAATTATTTCTCTTCCTCAGATGTGACAGCAACTTTACCAAGAACAGCTGAAACTGCCCCATGAAATTTTACCTGCTACTACTATCTGTAGAGAATCTGATGAACCCAGAATTTCCATTATTTTATTGTCTTAATTTGAAACTGCAGGACCAGCTCATCATGGCTTAGCATTGACTTCATTTTTTTTTCTTGACACTGTGTGAGGACAAAAAGTTCAGCCTGTACATACATTACATGAAAAGTTTGAACTTGAGAGTAAGTGGCTCAGGTGTGTGTTTTTGCACAATTACGTAACTACTCATTTAATTGTCTTTCTTTTTTTTCTTTTTTTTTTGCTGTGTTCGGTGGTTGTAGAAATGGTTTATATTAGCATTTAGCGGAGATTCTGAGGTTTCTGTGGATATCAGACATGTTGATATTTGCATCAAAGAATTGACGTTAAACTGCAGTTTAACCCCTTAGCCCCCAGTACCGGGGGCTTTGGGGCTCTCCAAGGTAAAGGGTGTCTGAAGTTTTATAAGTGGATTCTATCTAACCTAATGAAGAACAATACAGAAAACAAAAATGAGGTTGTGGGCACTTCCAACAAGTGGACACAGAAATTTTGGAATATAACTACTTATATGTAACAGAGTCACAGAATTTAATTACAAGAAAAACATTGATCTGGAAATATACAATTAAAATACAGTTACTAATCAAAATGTTGGTATTACAAGTTTAAAAGTTCTTGTTGGTAAAAAAGCTTCCAAGTACGCCCGAGTATGTAATTGTATGAACTTAAAATCAAAGATATCATGCCAGGTTCTTACCATTGTGCTGGTGTTGGTCACTACCACCGCTCAGGAACTCCACACTGTGCATAGAGCCATCAACACCCAGCAGATCCTGTTGCTGCCTTTTTATTTCCTCGAGAAGACGAGAGTTGTTCTTCTGAAAAACACCTGGGTTGAGGAAAAGTACATCATTCAGTTCAGATTGATGAAAATCAGAGTTAATTCACTTCACCAAGTAGACCTAAGACAGAAACAGTAATTGTGAAGAAACATGACTTTTGGATTGATAGAATCTATTTTCTTTAAAACAAAGCAAATAAATCCAAAATTAGGGGCAACTGTGGCTCAGTCAGTAGGGTGCGTGGTCTACCACTTGGATGGTCAATAGATAGATTGGAGAAACCAGGTATCAATCTGCAAAATACTGAATCCCCTAATGCATTCATCTACATGTGTTTAAATTTAAATATGATCAACCTATCTCTAATAATCGGCTATGTACCACAGGCTTTCAAGCTGGCTGTAGTTAAACCTTTACTAAAAAAGCCATCTCTAGACCCAGCCGTCTTAGCTAATTATAGGCCAATCTCTAAACCTTCCATTCATATCAAAAATTCTTGAAAGAGTAGTTGTCAAACAGCTAACAGATCATTTGCAGAGGAATGGTTTATTTGAAGAGTTTCAGTCAGGTGTCAGAGCTCATCACAGCACAGAAACAGCTTTAGTGAAGGTTACAAATCATGTTCTTATGGCCTCTGACAGTGGACTCATCTCAGTCCTGCTAGACCTCAGTGCAGCGTTTGATACTGTTGACCATAATATCCTGTTAGAGCAATTAGAACATGCTGTAGGTATTACAGGTACTGCACTGCAGTGGTTTGTATCATATCTATCTAGTAGACTCCAATTTGTTCAGGTAAATGGAGAGTCTTCTTCACATGGTGAGGTTAATTATGGAGTT